TCATAGTACTGCAGAGAATAGCATAATTACTGGAAGCCACAAAAACTAGGTCAACCTAATAGTTTTGTTGGATGATAGGCTTTCATATTCTGGACAAACTAATCTTGGAATCCCAGCTGCTGGATGCATCTGCTCTGGAGATGCAAAGAAAAAAGCAATATGTCATCTTTACTGGATGAAGTATAAAGAATGCTTTACTAGTCTATTTCCTGGCACAGAATGTCATGAAATCCCATTACTTCTCTTGCAATTTAATTGCTTACTAACTTCTTAGGAAAGTAAACCTTTAAATCATTCAATCAATTAATAAGTAAAATTCAGCAAATAACAGGCATTTTTTATAAGTGATCATTTTAGTTTCAATCTCTACCATATGACTGGATAATTATTATCTGGATTCATACGTCATCAATTTTGTCAACAAAACAAGATCAAGCCAGAGTAGCCTAACTACAATTTAGAGTCAATAGGGATTTCTTTACCTGACCACAAAATAAAGGTTGTAGATGCATCAGCAGACTCAAAATTAATTTATTAATGTGAACTGACTTAGCAAATATTTATTTTAAGAAGCTCAGGGCAATTTATACAAATTTGATAACTATTAGAGTGACTATCAAAAATTAAGTAAAACAAACTCTTTTTTTTAAATGTAGCTACTATAATTTCATGTGCAAGCTTAAATCAATTTAAGTGATGAGAAAACATTTTCATATATCAGAAAAACTCAGTTATATTACTTTAAAACACAGATGACTTCCAGTTGACTATATTTGCAATCAGTACTGCAACTTTTATAAGAACTAATTAAGAAAAGTTACACACAAAGTTACTTTTCCAATTCATTTAATAGCAGTCTCTAAGGGGATTTTTCAATTAGCTACATTTTCTTTGGATTTACTCAGTTTATCAGTTTTGAAGAAAGCTCCCCAAATAACAGTAATTGTCAATGACTCTGGTGATTTTTTTTCTGTCTAAATAAAGGGATTACCAAGTAGTTGCCAAGGAAAATCAACAGGAATATATACTATAGTCATACTTAGTTATTGTTTGCAAAAAAAGGAAATTATATTAAGAGAAGAAAGAATTAACTCTTGAGAGTGAGATTAGTTTCCTGTAATTGTGGACAATTTAGACAAGGCATTTATAGGTTTTCTAGAAACTCTAGGTTTTGGAGGATGTTCAGAAAAAATATAAAGAAGACACAGAGAGATGCAGATTGTCATTACTACTCTTTCTGCCTTTGAATGACCAAGAGAAAGTGGGAATACACATCTTCAGGCTGAATAGTGTCAAGATTACCAAAGAAGTCCTGGAGGTGAGCCAACAACCATGTTCTCTGACACTTCCACCTTGGCCAGCCCTCCACAAGGAATGGAATCCATCCTCGTTTTTTCAAACCTTGCTAATAAGCTCATCTACTCAATTCTCTTGTGCTAATGGAAACCTCCATCTCCTTACATTTCTTTCCACATGTGATTTTCCATATAGCTAGAATAAAAGTAGTCAAGCATTCCCACCCACCCTCACCAAACTGTGTTCATTTATACCCTGCAGAATCAGCAGAAGGTAACACTTCCGCCTAGGACACCCAGGACAAGAATTTATTCTCCTCTGTCTCCTCTCTTCTTTTTCTTTTCTTTACCTTTCTTTCCATTTTATTACCTCTCCTGTCCTCTCTTCTCCTTTCCTTGACTCCCTCCTTCCCTGCTCTCCTCCTCTTTCTACTTTTCTTCCTACTCCTCCTTCTTCCTCCACCTCTCCCCACCTTTTCTCTCTCTCCATATATCCTTTCCTTCCTTCCTTCCTTCCTTCTTCCTTCCTTCCTTCTTTTCTTCCTTCCCTCCCTCCCTCCCTCCTTCCTTCCTTCCCTCCCTCCTTTCTTTCTTCCTTCTTTCCCCTTTTAAAATTTTTCAAAGACAGGGTTGAAGTCACTAAGTTGTCCGGCCAGGGCTAAAACTTGTGATTATCTTGCCTAAGCCTGCCAGAGTACTATCTTCCTCCTCTTATAAGGACCTTGCTCCAACAATCATCATACTGTTGTGTTCCTGATGAACTTTGGGATATAAACACACTCAAATTTTAGACTCTTCAAAACACACGAACAACCAAAAATAATCACAAGCACATACGTACACACACACACACACACACACACACACACACACACACATTGACTATCTCTCTACATATGTCATATCATTATTTTGTTCCTCATCCTTTCCTGAATGGTCAACTTTACTCACATTTAAATCTCAGAATTACTTCCAGAATTCCTACCCTGATACCATATGCCTGATGCATCTTGTGTACACCTGGATGGATGCCTGTAGTCATCATTTGTCTTTCTAGAGCCTGACATTTGCTGTGCAGTCCTGGGGGCTGGACTTGTTCATCCACATGCTTAGGAGAGTGAGTCACCAGGAACACCCCCTCTGGCAGAGGGAAAGGCTCTCTGTGAAAAACCTTCTCAGCTAATGACATGTTCCTACCCTCTTCCCTCTGGGCCATCACAAGATGGTTCAACATTTAAAATTCTGAGTTAAAGTCTCATTAGCAAAGGCCATCTTGCAGCATCTACTTCTCCTGACTTTTGTTGTAACATTGTGTAAGGCCCTCTTAACATATTTTTTTTCAGTTTTTATTTTTTATTAGTACATGTTTCCATTAAATAATAATTACACTTCTTGTGGGGGACTGAAACATGCACAACACATCTCCGTTCTTTTCTCATCCCCTTTCCCTCCTCTCTCTTCCACTTCCCTCCATCTCCTGACCCCCTTTCCCATTTGAAAATGATATACGTTCCTACTTCCTATCACCTACTTTTTTGTGCTCTTCATTTATATTTTGGGTTTTTCATATAAGAGAAACCATGAGGTATTTATACTTATGGAACTAGTTTATTTCACTTAATATTGAGGTCTCAAGCTATATCCATTTTCCTACAAATGACTCAAGTTTATCTTTATGGCACAGTAGTACTCCACTGGGTATAAATATCACATTTTTTATCCTTTCACCTTTTAGTGAACATATAGGCTGCTTCCAACATTTAGCTATTATGAATAGTGCTGCTAAAACCATGGGTACACCTGATAGAGAAATACAAACCAGAAAGAACAGGCATCATCAAGAAATCCAATAATAACAAATGCTGGTGAGGCTACAGGAAAAAGGAACATTTCTTCACTGTTGGTGAGAATATAAACTAGTACAGCCGTTCTGGAAGTGGTATGGAAATTCCTCAAAACACTAAAACTAAAAATTCCATTTGACCCAGATATTCCCCTTCTAGGTGTCTTCCTGAAACTGTTAACATATTTTAAATTACTAGGCGATTCCAAGCTCCAGCATTATTTACCTTCCCTTTTGAGACATCCAGGGGACTGAAGGTCTCCCCCATTAAAGTAAAGACGAGATGGAGGGAAGGAAGGAGAAGGACAGTTCTGGACCTGAGATGAGACTGAGATGTGGGGAGGGACTGAATATGACAGTGAGAGGGCAAGGGATGAAATAAAAGATACCCAGGTCCAAAAGCCTCACTGGATTTAATATAAAAATGGTAACTTGTCAAAAGATTAATTAAATAACTTGTAACATCTTTCCTCTATCTACCCAAACTCTTTAAAATTCACAGTTCATATATATATTTTCTCCACTTTTCTCAAGAGACAGAATTGATTCTCACAATAGGATTATATAAGTTGCATAGTTTAAAAAAGGAAAACATGTAACAAGATGAACTAATGCAATAAAGTTGATTGGATTGTGCAGGCATATGGCATCGCCATCTAGATAAATCACTGATCTCCTGGCCATCCTAAGCTAAGCAGACTAGGGGCAGTTTTCATTTTACAGTTGAGAAAACTGAGGTTCCAAGAGGTTAAGAGGTACGTGAGCCTTGGAGCTGCAAATAAATTGAAGATGGTGAAGGTAAAAGAGAGAAACATTAGATTTGCTCCTTTAAAAATGTTTCAGTGGGAGAAATGCAATCTTAATCAGCAAAGCATGCACATATTCAGCATCTACCTCTTAAAGTCCATCTCTACTTTTCCTGTGATAGAAATTTTACAAAAAGAAAGAGCAAGCATCACCTCAATGCCCCTCAGACAGCAAAATTTTTTTTCAGAGACCTGGGCCTCTCAAATAACTTGCTCCTCAAATACTCTTAAATTCTAAATTGGCAAGAAAATTGTTAAAGGCTTAACATCTCATACGCCCAGCACATATTTTTGTCAAAGATATGATACCATAAAATGTCTCCCTCTGTGTGTGTGTGTTTATGTAAGTGTGTGTATACTTTGCAGGGCTCCTGGATAATTAATACGCACTGACAAGCAATACACTGCCCTCCCTGACACCCCACACCTTCATGTTCCTCTTGCTCTTTCGGAGCTCTTCTCACCGTGTTTGCTCCTTTTGTTCATTTCCCTTAACTAGCTGTTGTTTTCAGGTGGTTCTATGAGCTGTATCACTTCTAAAGTACCTGTAACAACATTTTCCATTTGATCAAAATCATCAACAGGAGGGATTTCAGAGAGCTTCATGTCTACTCTACTGAATACTTTAAAGCATGCCCAGAAGTGAAACACTGGATTGGAACAATGAAAATACTTGTTGTATATAAGTAGTAGCAACACAGATGATTCTGAATTCTTCTTTTGAAACATAACTTTAATATTTTTACCTGGCTTGGCAATAAATAAGGAAATGTATTACAGGGCCTTGTAACTGTGGCATTTTTGCACTGGTGATATTTTTGTTTATATATCTGATTTATTTGATAATAAATCATTTTGCATCAAATAAATTTGATCAGAAATACAATTTCAATATATAATTTGACCCTATGGAAAAGTGTAATGTCTTTATTCATAATTTGTAGTATGACTGCTTTCCAGTATTTTTGGTGAAAAGCAGAGATTTTTTTTTTTATCATGTTTACTGTATTTCTCGGGACTAAACAGTGAGAAGCAAATGATGTGCAAAAGACTTACCCACTCTTCCTCGTCATAGTCTGAATGATGTGGTATGGAGTCCTGCCTTCTCATGGGCGGGGGTTGGTCCTGGGGGTGGCTCTCTTCTGCGCTGCTCTTGGGAGAGGGTGGTTTCTTAAGGATGCCTCCTGGCCTGGCCGTGTAGAGAGCTAAAAGAGCACTTCTGACCAGCTGATCTTTGAAGGCATGCACAAAAAGCTCTGTCTGGAAAGAAATTGACGAAGATTAGAAACACCCTGGTAGGCATCTCAGTATAGAGCTATGAAAAGGTCAACTGTAGATTTGTTGGTACTTAAGTAGTATGTATGGTGGAAAAAGGACTGGCACCAAAGAGAGAAAATGATTCATGCCAATCGATGAAAGATGGTTTGGTTTGGTTTGGGGATGTTGCCAAGGCCTTGAGTTTTCCTGTTTTAAAGTTAATGCTGAGGGTTTTTAATGCACTATAAACACCATCTGTCTCCTCACCCTCCTCTCTTTCAGCTCCAAATCCCGTCTTTGTGCATGAATTTCACTGGGGATAATCATTTGAATAGCACCTCTGTGCTGCATCTTTCAAGTAATTCCAAATACATCTTTAAATAAAATGGGATCAGACTATGTATTTTTTATTTTAAATATAATTAAAAGCCAAAGTAAAACAGACATATTATTTTAAAAAAAACAGCAAGGAAAACTTTTTTTTTAGCTGTGTGGACAAAACTCAGCATTAGAGATGACACAGCGCCCATCTAATGAAAACAACTGCCTTTTATACCTTGTTATCACCCCTCAAACTGTTGCCTCCGCCAAATTGTTTCAGTAATGCTCAACATTTAATGAGATTATTGTGAAACTTGGCATGGCAGATTTTACAAGCTGGTGGTAAGTACCCAGTACATATTCAAGTAATGATGGCTTCACAACGATAAAAATCTTTACAGCTGTACTTTGCAATTTCCTGATGAAATGTTTAATAGCATCACCCTGGAATAGACTGGAAGATGCTGTAATTGATTTTCTGTATTACAGTACACTGAATATGCATGTAGATTAATAACCTGTTTAAACCACAGAGAAATAAGGATTGATCCATATTGTCAATATATTATACTTCATAATCTGTTAGGCAGGAGCCCTTTAATATGGTATTATCTTGAATAATAATTGATGTCCCTACCATTTAATTTGGCACTCTTGGATATAATGCCAATTTAACCATTGCTGTAACTCAAGGTAATTATTTCTTGGTGCACTCTCAATATGCAGTTGACAGTGCCATGTTTAACTGATGCTTACTCAATTAGCTCTAAATCTTTCTCTTGTGAATGTCAGCAACTAAAGAAAATCAGCTAAACTTGGTGCAAAATAAATGCCTAATAAGACTTTGTCATGGTTGCAGAGTTAATTCGTTGTAATAGATTATAAAGTTCTAGAGTTGGAAGCAAGGGAGCTTGAAGTTGACCTTTGTGTTAATCAGATAAATGTAAGATGTGTGGAGATCTGTTTTAGCACAGTCTCCTTAATGTCAGCACAAGTGGAACAGGCTTCATGCTGTCTAACACATTCAGTAGCTTTTCCTTTTATTCCATGTCACTTACCACCTGCCATCACTCGAGATGTTTCTGCCCTTCTCTCCTCACTGCAGATCCCCATGTGTTGCGAAAAAAAATCAGTTCTCAGGACTAAATGTGCCCACAACTGCCCATGAAACTATCTTTTCTGCTGAATTTTATTGGCCATTTTTAACACTGTTAATATAGTAGTCATATTGAAGCCACTTTGAAGGTAAAACAACAGGCCAGAAATATGGAAAACTGAATAAATAATATTAAAAGATTAAAACTTTTGGAATGAATGAGAAAAACAAAAGTCAGCTTATACTGAAAAGGTACAAGAAGTATTCTTTGATGTTTGTAATGACATGTTAAAATGAGAAGAGATGATATAAAATATTCTGATGGAAAAATTGGCAAGATAGTATTTAAGCCAGCCAGTGTAGTTATAAGAAAATGGAAATATGTTGTTTACATAATTTTTCACATAGCATGGATGAATCCATCAATGTTAATTTAAATATTAAGATGCGAATTTACTACTATTCAGTTTAACCAAACTATTTTTTCTGTTGATTGGTTTTTGATTTATTTTTAGAAGAAAACAGCTTGCAGTCTTTGAATTCCTGCTACTAGAGCTCCAGACTCCACAATACCTACATAATTACTATGTAGCAGAATATCTATTAACACCAAATGAAATCTTCTACAGTACTTGTAATCATTTTCTTCGCCTAGCACACACACATGCAGAAATTCCACTTCATTTGTTTAAATCTCATTTGTGTTGATTTACCATCAAAGGCAAGAAAGATAATGAAGTCTTGTGACCCAGATTGTATAACACAGGGTTTTCTTCAGATAGCTAAACACAAGGTCAAAAAATATTATGCAAACACAGTAATAGCTGGTCTTCTACTGTGTCTATACTGAAATGTTTCTCTGGCTTCTTGGAAGTTCTTGAGATCATCAGGATATTGTTTTACATAATATCATGCTAGAAAATACTTAAATATTCCACTGCAATTATCCATGTGATCTGGTAAATAATCTTAATTTTCTTGGCCAGCACCATTGAAGACTTTGGATGTTTTACAGTCAAAATAAGTCAGTCTGAGGAGATTAATGTAATCACTCATGTTCTGGTCATATTTGTCAGTGTTTTCTTTTGTGCTTCATTCTCTTTGTTTGTTTTGTTTTGGTACCGGGGATCGAACTTGGGCTCTTGCGCTTGCGCAGCAGGCGACGAAACCACTGAGCTAAATCCCCGGCCCTGTGCTTCATTCTAATAGTTTATAAGGTTATGTGTGCAGGTTCAATATCTAGCTATTCTTGTGTAGTGATCAATCTACTGTTAATTCCATCCAGTATATAAATATTATTTCAAAAATCATGTTTTTACATTTTGTGAGTTCTATTGGACTATTTTTTAAAAGTCTTTCCTTATTCTTCTCTTCTTCTCATCCTCTTCATGTGCTTCTGCAATTTCCAATATACATGGAGTTTATTTAAAATTGTTATTTTAAAGTCCTTACCTGCTAATTTAATCAACTCTGATTTTCTGGATCTGTTTACACTCTTGATTTTTCTTTCCATTATGGGTCATATTTTCCTTCTTCATTGCATGTTTGAATGACAAGTACATGATATTTACATTCGTGATTGTTAGATTTTATTGTATTCTTTTAAAGAAAAATATGTTGCTCTGATGTGAAGTAAATTACTTTGGATCATTAGATGTGAAGAAAGTTACATCAAGATCATTAGAAATCTTCTTTTGAAGCCATATATTGTGGATTAAGAGCACCATTTATTTATTTATTTATTTATTTATTTATTTATTTATTTATTTATTGGTACTGGGGATCAAACTCGGGACCTTGCGCTTGCTAGGCAGGCAGCGGAACCACTGAGCTAAATCCCTGGCCCAGGAGCAACTTTTAATCTAGAACTAATTTAGCTCCACTTCCAGGGCCACATCTTCCTGTGGACTCCACTAAATTCTCTGGGCATTACAAGGTCTTTTCACTCTTCCGGGGGAAGATAAACCATTTTCCACATTATTTGATTGTCAGAAATCGTTTCATTGTTTTATATCACGTTTGTTTCCCTGGTAATCAGTAGTTTATTTTTACACATATAAAGATCAATATAAAAGTAAAGCCTTACAGGCATTCAGATACAGATATCCAAGACTTTTTCTTCAAGGAGCTCCCTCCTTTCTGATATTCCACTCTGTGAATTATATTTCAGATTTCCAAATTTTAGTCCTTGTCTCCTCAGCTTGAGAAGATACTGTTTGGGTCACATCTCCCTGTGCTACCCCCTGCAAAATGCCTTAAGAAGTAAGCTGGGCAATTTTAGAATCATGCTCTGTTACTGTTCTGTATTGTTGATTTTTCCAGTGTGTAAAACCACCTGCCCAGTTTTCTTTTTGTTGATAATATGTTTTTCCACCCATGTTTTTCCATCCTGGACAAAGCAGAAGTCCTCATTCTATACATTTTATATACAAGCCTCATTCTCAACACTAGCATACTTTCTTATCTTTATTTTTCCTATTCTTCAATTTTCTAATAAATGTAAATTGTGATTATTATATATTATTTCTCAATCAAGTGTTTACCACTCAAAGGGATTGTGATAAACCAGAAAAATAAGTTATAATCATGAAATTTCATCTTCTTCTAAACTATTATTCTCAAGTTCCTCTAGACCCTAGTATATATTATCATCAATCATAAACAAAGAAACAAACAACTCCTCTCATTAAGTTCTCCCTTTCAATAAAAAATTCATTCTGAGTAACTAAATAATCAACATAATAAGCATTTTCTTCTATATATATTTGTCTTCAAATTATTAGCACTGTAGCTTCTTGACATTGCTATTACAGAAACCAACATTTTTGAACAAAATCTTGAGTTGTTTTAGAATGAAATTATTTTTCAACACAATAGAATGCTGTGGTATAGTATACTAAGGTTAAAAGGATATTAGGAATTGGAATTTCTTAAATATATTGTGAGTATAGACTCTAATATTTGCATTTAATCATTTAATAAGTGTAATATTTTGAAACCTTTTATTGTTTTAAAGTGTTAGGTTCAAAAAGTTAAGGGCTGTGTCTATGTAGGATTTATCATGTAGCATCAAACATAGTACCATGCACAATTAGGTGCTCAATAGTGCTTTTGATGAGCAGGATAATAGTGACTTTCTAAACAAGATCTCTCACTGTCTTTGGAATGGAGAAATTGCTGGGCATTTGAAAGCAAATGTCATATATTATATACTACGGACATTTAGGACTTCATTTTTCTTATTATATCAGTTTGAATTTATTTTCTTTACATTTTTTTGCAAATTTTTTTTATAGAATAGCATACTTTTAGCCTAAGGAAAAGAAAAATGCATTTTTATCTCACTTCAGTACTAAATGTTTATATCTTGCATTAAAAGTTTGGCCTATTATTTATATTTTCTGTTGGAATTATTCAGATAGGCACAGAACATGATATAGGCCAGAGGACACAAAGTAGTAGCTATGTAGCAAAAACAAGTCTAGAGGTTTAATATATCACACAAGGAGGAAATGTCTTAACCCATTTACGCCAAATATTAAAATTTTGAATTTTTGCATGAAATCCATATGTATTACGTAAAAATTTCAAGGAACAAGAATTTGAAGATAAAACATTTTATTATGTTCTGTTTTCAGTGTTCCAAAACTGGATCACTAGGGATTGAAGGGTTAATAGTGTTCTATATTTGAGATTCATGCTAAATGAACAGATTTTGGATATTCTTGCCTCAGCCACCACCACAACAAAAGGAATAACAGTATGAGATAATAAATACATGATTTACTTCATCTTGGTAACCTTTTTACTATGTATCCCTATAGGATACATAATATCATACTGCATATCTTAAATAAGATCACACTGTATATCTTAAATAAACATAGTAAAAATTATTTTCAAAAAATGGGACTATCAATGAAGAAAGAAATTTTAACTGTAATCTGTACTAATTTTAAAAACACTGAAACTTAAAAAACAAAGCTTTTAGAATTTAACTCATACTAACATTAAATTAAAATTTATGACATTACTACAACTGTTCTTTAATGCTAAATTCATGGATTATGCTTAATTCTAAACCATGAGCTGCTTGCAGTCTCCATAGACTACTACTTTAGGTAATTCTTTGAAATTCCAGGCATGAATTCTTAAAAGAATGCATGGCTTGCAAACTTAACTTTAAAAAGATCTTCCAAGTTTAAAGGGCTGAGAGATTTATTAGTAGACAAAGGTTGTCTGCTCAGTAGAAAACATAAGGGGAAAGTTGGAGGAATGCTGGATTAAAGGAGCAGAAATATCCCCCCCATCACTGCAGCAAGTTGTAAATGATGTATGAAATGAAGAATCCCTGCCCAATGCACAGGAAGAATATAAATACTGCTCTGTAATCACTGCAATGATTGCTATTTGCTAAACTTTTTGCTTGGGCTAATCCAGAAAAAACTCACCTTATCTACAAATCCAAAAAAGAAATCAACCAAAATGAAAATGTATTATTTGACTGTATGCAAAAATCTCCTTATTTTTCCCCTAGTTCTAAAGACATAGTTGCATTACAATATCTGAGTGTTAAGGAATTTGTCCAAAAACAACAAAAAATTAAGTGTTAAGAAAAGAAATATCAAATACATATATCAGTATACATACCTGGCCTTGAGACCCTTGTTTTGTTTGAATCTATGGCTTGATTCTAGCTACATAATTGTTCATTTTTGTAACTTCTCTACAATTTAATTGTTTCCTTTTTAAACTCACTTGACTTTCATATATTAGCTAATTTTTAATGAAAGTAGATATTTTTCTTTATTCTCATAATATATGAAAATGTACAGTTTATTCTAACATATTAAATAAGTGCAAGTAACATTACAAATTAAGACATCTGCATTAAAATTAAAGAACAAGTAATGTCCAGGCTTTTACAAAAGTGTTCCTTAGTGTAAAGAACCACACTATAGATTTATTCTGGAATTATAATATGAGAATTTACTTTGGTCATCTTCTTCAAATGTGTATTTATTAAAAGTGTCTCATAATATATTACAAGATCTCAGAATACACAAATAAAGGAAAAGCACAGTGGTATTTTACTCCAGGATACTTGGTTTTATGTTTCGAATCATGCTGCAATTAGTGTTTTTCTGGCTTGGTTCTCTCTCTATGTTACACAGCTGCCCTAAGTAGTTAACGCAAGTTGATACTGAGTATTTGCTTCATGCCAGGTCATCTTTCCTCTCTGTAGACACAGGTACAAGTAATCATTAGATAAATTCAACCTTAAGTTCCACTATTTGCAAAGAATAACTAACATTTCTGGAAATTTTTAGAATCTTTTCCCAGTAAATAATTATGTACAAAGAAAACCGAACCACTAATGTGAATCCACATCAAAATTATGCTTTCAAATGAAGTGGCATTCCTATTCCAATAGCTTTATGTGCACAAAATTTAGGTGATCAAAAGAGGAAAATAAAGTATTTTTAAAAATCAAGTTTAATTTATTTACTAAGACTATAAATCAAAGTAAGTGACAGATGGCAAGAAAAATAGAAAATATTTACCAGTATATGTTTCATTTCCTATTAGAAAAACATAATGCTAACTAAGATTCGAAAAGAGAGTTAGGCCAATTCAATTTGATCCTGTGGCAATACTTTGAAGGTTACTTTTAACCTAGTCTCCTTCATGTTTCCAGATGGTATGCAGAAAGCAACACCAATGGGAATGGAAGTATTTCATTTTCCCCACTGTAGTGACGATTTGGATCTTACCTTTTCTGAAAGCATCTTTAAAGAATTCTTCAAGCTGTCTGGAGAATGTTGGCTTGCAGAATTAAGCAGTAGGTCTGCATGGGTTGCTATAAGAGGTTGTAGTTGATTGATGTTACTGAGAACTTCTTTTGCTTTTGCTGTGTTTTCAGGTGAATAGTAAATAAACTGATATCCAGTACTGTAACAACACAGATAACAGTATGTTACACAAAAAGCAGAAAAAATTTGCAGCCCTTATTATCAAATGGTCACTGATAAACACAATGACAAATGCCATTAATTCTAATTGAACAAATAAGAACTGTTGTAAGAATGTTTCACACTGTCCCAACAGTTTTTAAGTAAAGAGACGTGGGTACTTTTTAATGCTGGGTAAAATAAGTCTAGTTTTGAGGGTTGGGGATTTAGCTCAGTGGTAGATCGCTTGCCTAGCAAAAAAATTAAAAAACAAAAGAGTAAAAAAAAACACTCTTTGCTCAACCACTTGGAAGATTCTATATTATTATACACATCAAATATTAGTATTCAAAAGTATTATTAATATTATTCTGCACTTGAGGCCACGCAGTACAGAGAGAAAAGTGTGAGCTTTTATATTCCAGTCAATCTTAATGTAATACTTGCTTGCCACTTACTAGCAATTTGACCTTGGGAATAATTATCCAAACAATTCTAAGAGGTAGGGAAGGTGAGAGATCATTACTATAAAGTGCCTAAAATTGCATTTGGTACTACCTATATTTTCCCCCATGATACTAAGCAAGTGAGAGAGGGAATGAATATTAATAGCTGAAAGACGGGGAGAAAATAAATTAATACCAGGTAGGCAAATGGCTATTGTTATTGGATATAAAAACATTTATAGCATTAATAATCCATTATGTTATTTTATCACCACCCTTTTCATTCCTTATGGTTTTCCATCTGTCCGGTAAAGAAATTTAAAATTGATTATTAATCAGAGAACATTTGACTTCCATAAATATTATCTAAAACAGATCAAGAATGCTATGGGAGTAGGGATTCCAGGAAGCAAAGGAATCTTTGGCCAGTTTCATTAGGAAAGACAGAGGGAGAGTTCCTGAAGATTCAGTAGTGAAAGAAGTGAAACAAGGAAGCATGGAGGAAGGCAGAGGGAGGACATGGCTGGTGCCTTCACTTGCTTGGTGCCAGAACACCCTTTTACATCTAACTGTAAAAATGGTTTTCACAATACTTTGTAATCTCGCCAAGGTACAAGCCTAGCAGGTGCTGAGTAGTTACTAAATATTACTGAATATTTCCCCAGCAGTTACCAGCTCAAATATTTAAATTTCCCACAATTCCATTTTTTATTTTGAAAAATTAGAAATCAATAACATGATCATAACTGAGAGGCATTCTTTCTCCTACTTTTAGGTGAAATTATCAGAATCTTTAAGGAGAAGATATGCTATTGCGAACATAGAAGAAATAGTCCTCATATTTTATCAAAATTTTTAAAAATGATTAAAAGGAATGTCCGTGGAGGCTTGAGCTATTCAGAAGACAGGAAAAGAAGTCAATGAGGGTGACAGGATAAAGGCTAAGAAATACATGACTCATAAGGATTTGCCCTCAATTCTTACTTGTAGATTTTTAAATGTCAGAAAAATTTAAAACATACCTTAACTATTTATCATAGATTTTAATAAAGATTAAGGAAAGAGACAAATAACAATCTAGAAGTAGAGAAAAGAAAAAAAATCCCTATGTATGACTTTTGTCTATTTCTAGTTTGTTGTGTGCTTGGGATTGAAATCTATAGATTAAAAATCATGAAGTATTCCTTGGTACTCAGGCTATGAAGCGCAAGCTACCACAGTCTTTTATAAATCAAAGAACCCAATGTTATTTTTGCAAAGAAAACAATTATCTGAGTGTATTAATGTGCCCCTGGGTGCGAGAGGTGACAATTGTACCCCAGGACACTGGCAGCAGAGAGGAACTCTGGCTATAGACCTAACACAGAGAGCCACTTCTGGCAGATGCTCTGTGAGCTCTTTGCTAGCCTGCTCGTCTGTCACTGGTTGCTTTCTGGTGTGGTCTTACGGGTACTTGCAGGTTCCCAAGTGCTTAGCCCTTGGAAAGCGAGAGTGCTGAGTTCATGTGGCTGCCACCTTTCTCTTCTCTTGACTCCTCATTTTGATTATGTCTCTTCTGGTCTCTCATGTACTCGCTCCTACTCATTCTTTTTGAAACTTCCTCTACTAGCTTCTCTTCTGTTATTCTTTCCTGGCAATTCATGGTTACTTTATTCATGAGTATTATCTATTTTCATCATCTTTTCTGCATATTTCTTACTCTACAAATTCCCTTAGAATCTCCCCTCCATTTGATTCTATAGCATATATTTCCAAGATTTCTTTCTTACATGTTCTTTTTGCATATCTAGACTGGTGGTCCTCAAATATGAGCATGTACAAAATTCACTCAGGACAAAATTCACTGAGAACAGGGCTTGAGTATTAAAAACATGATGCCTTGGCAGTACCTAGAGATTTTGTGTCAGTAGACCGTAGCATTTGTAGTAAGTCTCAGGAGGTCCTGATGCAAGTAAACAAGGAACCAGCTTTAGAGACTCCTGCTGCCACCGTTTGGAATTTAAGATACTCTCTTGTCCCTGGAGCATGCCACACAGACTCTGACAAAAGAAGCTACACTAATTTTCTTAATATATTTTACGAGGCTACTTTTACTTTCTATGATTGTATACAAGTTTCTCTCTCGTCCCTTCTCGCCTAACATGGCCTATGATGCTTTCATCTATTCCTTCCCATTGGACTTCCTTTCCCAAAATACTCTTCAGTCACCAATATAGGGCATGTTGAAAAATAACCTTTTTATCAGTTACTTAACAGGCACTGGTTTTTCTGGTGATGTTTTTTAAATGACAATAAAGTGCGAATAAAAAATTTATACTTAGTGAGAATAAAAGATTCATTTTCCACAATTAAAGTTAATGTTGGTGTCCAGGAAGAAATAATATGGCATGAAAGAAAATATTGCCACCTACAAAATAATTTTAAGTACACATAAATTCCATATACCTGTTCACTGCTTTACTCTTTAAACATGTCATACATTTAACAGTTATAGCTTCTTAAATGGATAGTCATGACTATAATTTAATTATCTAGAGAAAAAGAATATAACTAAACTCTATTTTATAATGGTTTGAAATTTAAACTCAATCCTAACACTTGAATCAACAATCAGTCAGATATAACCAAAAGAAAGAGAAAATATTTCATGGGATAAAATAATTTGTACAATATAACTATATAACAAATTATGAATAATAAAAAATAGAAATTAAATTATTATTCTATTGATAAAACATTGACTTAAGTTGTACTTATTTAAATACTTTAATAAGTTTAATACCAACTTAAGTTGATACACAATACACACATCCATATTTTTGTGTATATGTAGTGGAACTAGGAGTGTTTTGTTCTGGAAATGTAAATTCAGAGAAAGAAAACAGTAAAATAATATTCATGTTCATAAACTATTGTTAACCAAAATACAAGTACAACAAGAACCCGTGCATTCTTGAGCTCGTAGCCTGCCTCAGTCTCTTTTTCCCATCCTCTCTTAGTCCCCGTCCTCTAGTGTTGTTATGCTCCAGGACCCTGTCCTTGGAACTCTTGTCTTTTTAGCCCTACATTTCTCCTAAGTGAGTTTGTGTATTAATCTGGTGATGTAAATGCCTCACTTACAGCTATTGTTCCCAAATGCAAACCTCTGGCCTAGACACTTTGCTTGAATTGCAACGAAAACAAAAGTTGACCCTTGACACCTGAGACTGAACAGGTCTCAAATTGCTCCCACTCTGCTTCCCATTATCAACCCCCAGCTCTACTTCAGTCTTTTTATGTGCATGGCATTGTCATTTAATGACCCTACTCTTCCTTTCCTACCTTTGTCTAGTTTTGCAGAAAATCCTGCCTTTTTCTTTCAAATATACCCAGAACCCACCCACTTGTCTCCAAGTTCACAGCAGTCATCCCAGCTCAAGTTACCATCATTTTCTTTCATCATGATTTATCCACTAACCTACAAACTGGTCTTCCCACTCCTCTCCTTACATGTACTTGGGGAGAAATGACACTTGAGGCATTAAAATTCTTGACTTATGCTTAGGGTTTGAAGGAGGCAGGCAAGGAGCAAGAAATAAAGTAGTTCTTCCTTAGCTCCCTAACCATATTCTGGACCCACATTGTGACTTACCTGTTTCTCTCCTCCTTTTCTCTCCCCATATCCTGCATCCCTTATTCCTTAAACCATTTGGTTAAGCAAGCTACAGTTCTGGGCAGTGGAGTTATGGAAAAATATAGGTAACAGATCAGTATACAAGAAGGGAAAGTAGAAGGAAGAGACAGAGGAAGAGTGGCTGGGGCCCAAGAGAGTGGGAGTTAATGAATTTAAGAAAGCATGCTTCAGAGTGGTGTATCTCTACTTCTGTAGCAGAGTTAAAAATCCAGAGAGAAACCCAGCGACTGGTGTTTCTACTTATTTTTTCCCAAATCAAGCATTACTCCCAAAACACAGACTGTCTTATTCAGAAGGAGGGAAAGACATGCTTTCACTTCTAACCCAGAAGGAAACCAGGTGGATAATAAATGAAAATTTGCACCTTACTGCACTTGAAAGTACCCTTCTGGCTTCACAGGGTTTAACAACATGCTTCATGAAATTGCAGAAGTCAAAATCATACCACTCTGCTCTTCCCTGTGCATCCTTTCAGTTGTCTGTTAGAAATGGGGCTTAGAGCAAAGAACTAGAAGGAAAATGATGTTTTGTTTATCTACACTGAGATTCATTTATGTAATTAAATGAGTAATATGATCTGTGTTTAAAGTGATGTTCATTTTTAAGCTATTCTTGTTATAAATATCTTGGTTTCAGTGTTTTAATCAAAGCTGATTCTGCCATTTACTATTTCTGTGAGAAGTGATGCTAATTAAGTGAGAAAAAAACACCTTAATGTTCATTTCTGCTCCATTTGCCACCTTATAGAAATTTATTTGTGTGTTCTGATCACAATGGTTTCTACTATCCCACTTTTAATTTTTTAGTTCTAACCTGTGGTTTCTTAACCAATAAGACCCTCCCTTTTTCATATGTATCTCTTATTCTTGTTCTAATAAAAGT